AGATAGAGAAAACGGATAAATAGATACGTAAGGGAATAAATAAAGAAAATAGATATTGGTAAATGGATCGATAATTGGATGGATAGACGGGAAGAATTATCATAATGGGCCTTATTAACGTACAGGTGGAGGGGGGGCGGAGATAGAGAAAATGGATAAATAGACACGTAAGGGGATAAATGGATCGATAAATGGATGAATAGAGGGGGGGAATTATCACAATGGGTCTCATTACGTACAGGTGAGGAGGCCAGATGGGAGGGGGTGGAGAGATAGAGAAAATGGATAAATAGATACGTAAGGGAATAAATAGAGTAAATAGATATAGGCAAATGGATCGATAAATGGACGAATAGACGGGAAGATTTATTATAATGGGCGTCATGACGTACAGGTGAGGAGGCCAGGTGGGGGGGGGGGTAAGCAGATAAAGTGAGTAGATAAAGAAAATAGATAAATGAATATAAATCAACAAGTAAATAAATAAGTGAATAAAAAAATAGAAAGGTAAAGCTAAATGAACTGATAAATGGATTAACAGAGAAAATTGATAAACGAATATAAATCAACAAGTAAATAAATAAGTGAATAGAAAAAAAAATATAGATAAAGCTAAATGGACTGATAAATGGATAAACAAATGAAAAATATAATTATAATAAGCCTCACTAAGTGATGAGAACAGGCGAGGAGAGTAAAGTAAATAGACTGATAGAAGATGGAAAAGAGGAATAGGAAAAGAGGGATAGAAGGTGGAAAGAGGAATAGGAAAAGAGGGATAGAAGATGGAAAGAGGAATAGGAAAAGAGGGATAGAAGGTGGAAAGAGGAATAGGAAAAGAGGGATAGAAGGTGGAAAGAGGGATAGGAAAAGAGGGATAGAAGATGGAAAGAGGGATAGGAAAAGAGGGATAGAAGATGGAAAGAGGGATAGGAAAAGAGGGATAGAAGATGGAAAGAGGAATAGGAAAAGAGGGATAGAAGGTGGAAAGAGGGATAGGAAAAGAGGGATAGAAGATGGAAAGAGGAATAGGAAAAGAGGGATAGAAGGTGGAAAGAGGAATAGGAAAAGAGGGATAGAAGGTGGAAAGAGGGATAGGAAAAGAGGGATAGAAGATGGAAAGAGGAATAGGAAAAGAGGGATAGAAGGTGGAAAGAGGAATAGGAAAAGAGGGATAGAAGATGGAAAGAGGAATAGGAAAAGAGGGATAGAAGGTGGAAGGGAGGGATAGGTTAGTAAAGAATTGATAAATGGAAGAATAGATAGAAATGACAAGAGAGAGGAGTGCATGTGGAAGGAGAGAGGGAGGAAATATGAAAGGGGGGGAGGGGAGGATAGGTAATCAAATAGATTGATAAATGGAAGGCGAAAGGAAGGGAGATTGATAAATGGAGGGCGAGAGGGAGGGAGATTGATAAATGGAGGGCGAGAGGGAGGGAGATTGATAAATGGAGGGCGGGAGGGAGGGAGATTGATAAATGGAGGGCGAGAGGGAGGGAGATTGATAAATGGAAGGCGAGAGGAAGGGAGATTGATAAATGATTGGATAGATACGAAGATTAGTGATAATGGGGCTAATTATATACAGGTAGATGGAGGGAGGGAGGGTGGGTGGATGATTAGATAAATAGATGGATGGATGGATAGATAGAGACAAACAGATAGAAAGAGGGAAAGAAGGAATGGATGATAGATAGATAGATGGATGGATGGATAGATGCATATACAGAAAGACAAATAGATTGAAAGAACGAAAGATAGATAGATAGATGGATTAATGGATGGATAGACAGAGACAAACAGATAGAAAGAAAGAAAGAAAAATAAGAAAGATAGATGGATGGATGGATGGATAGATGGATGGATAGACAGAAAGACAAACAGATAACAAAAAAGAAAAATAGATAGATAGACAGATAAACGAACACGTGGAAAGATAAATAGTCTTTTTCGTTCTGAAAACTTATATATTTTTACATACAAGTGAACGGATGGATAGATGAATGGAGAGATAGGTAAGGAAAGAAATTGATAAATGTTTGGATGGATAGAAAGAATAATAATCATAGAGCCCATTTAAAATAAAGAAAGCAGGTAGAGTGCCTGACAGATAGATAGATAGATAGATAGATAGACTGATAAGATGATGGATAGATAGGAAGATGAATCATTACTTTGTTTTTAGGCGTCTTGGAAAGCCCAGATAGATAGAAGGATGGATAGATGGCTATTGATTGTATTATTGATATCATAAGTATCACTATTATCATTTTATCATCTTTTTCATTATTATCACTAATATCATTATCATCATTATCACAATTATATCCTTATTATCACTGTAATTATCATCATTATCTTCATCACTATCATCATCCCCCCTCCCCTCTCCCTATCTTCCCACTACCTCCTCCTTTCTTTTATCTGCCTCCCCCTTTTCTCTCCCTCCCCTCCCCCTTTTCCCATCTCTCCCTTTCTTTCCCATCCCATATCCCCTCTT